CAGATCACTTGCGTCAAGCCCAGCTTTATCAGGGGTTGGTGGGATATCTTTTTCAAGGGCCTACAGCAATTGAAAAGCAATTAGAATTTCATTGTACTTTCCAGTTCCATTAACCATCCTGTAGATATGTGCAAGAGTTCACAATGAAAAAGCCATACTTTCACTGTGCAGCTGTTGAAATACAGAAGAATGGGATGGCAGCAAAGCAAAACTTCAGTTGAATACTTGGGGCTTAGAGACACTTCAGGCCTAAAGAAAGAATGGAAAGCTACCCTGTTCAAGGGATATTGCTACAGAAATGGGAAATGCTCCCTTTTCCCAAGTGGTCAGGTAACAGGAAAGGACAGTGCAGTGTGACAGCTGAAATCTGCCCCTTCTAAAGAAACAGGTCCTGGTCATTGTCATGATTTTTTCTTCTTAGAAAAGTTTATTCTTCACTGATTTAAGAGTAGCAGACCTCTGCACAAAGGGCTTTTTTCCTTTATCTTTAAGACTGGACAGATGGGGAGAGCTCTAAAACAGTGAGGTGAAGGAGAATCATGCACAGTGGCAGGGTCTGGCAAGTTCAAAGCTGCAAAAAGTTAAGAGGGAAACAGCCTGCAGTGGCCAGCAGAGCTTCATTTGTGTGGATGGGGTTTCCTGGAAAAGGAACATGGAGATCCCCATCCTTTTTCCTTTCCTGACAGAATCTTCTTACGCAGTCCTGCACAGTGCCTGGAAAACGCATGCAGTGAAGCATTCCTGATTAGTGGTGCAGTTAATGAGCACTGGTTTACATCTCTTAGGGATAAATCCACCCTCTGACCATCTGTTAACAAGAGGATCTGGTTTTCTTCTGATTCACATAGATGCCAAGATGCCAAGCAGAATTACCTTCATTTAAACCACTGGCATTTCTTGGAGAGTAAGTGCTATGAAAAAGTTGGTCTGTTGGCAAGATCTCTTGCTGAGTCACATTCTGTGGGGCAGAGATTATGTCTCTCTGGATGGTTTGTTCATTCTTGAACATGAAAGGCCCCAACAAGTAGCAAGAATTTAGCTCTTGTTATGAAATGTCAGTGTGCAGCTCTGAAGCTGTTAGCCTTGCAGTTATCAGTGATTTGCAAGTGGTCTGCTTCACCTGCTGCTGGATTTGGCGCAAGTGGATTCGGTCACTTGCACATAATTTTTAGAATACTGTCAGGTCTCTCAGAGGCAGTATCTTCTAATGAATGCAAATGAAAGTTGTGATTATCCATTTCAAAGCAATTGGTAGCAAGCCATCATTGGCACAGAACATTATTTATACAGTTCTGAAGTGCTGGTGTATAATTCCTCACACAACACAGTAATAGAAACTGCCTTCAGGGCTGGACTTTCCACTCCAGCCTCTCTGTTTTTGAATTGTAGACATTGTCACTTCATTGACTGACTACTGGATTTTACAGGTTCAGTTTGATGCACATATGATTGCAAGATCATGCTTGCCTGCAGATGCCAGACTGCCACCCAAATTACTTGCTCCTCTCAGTAGCAGTGAATAAAGTGACAGGATGACAGCTCTTAGGGACTCTTGGCTCTCTCATTTTCCAAATCCTTCTCTAACAAAGGCTGTTTGCAGCTCCATTCTCATCCTACTCGGTGCTTGCTTCAGTACGAAAACTTGGAGTCTGTCATGTGCTTACATGTACAATTGCTCTTAACTCAAATTTTATTTCCATATTTTGCTCAACCTCCAGTTCCAGTGCATTGATTCCTGCTTGCTGTCTCCACGTGGGGAGTCTCCCACTGCTTACTTTCACTGCTCAGTTTGCAGGACTCTTCTTTGACCTGTTAAAAAATGGAATTCACCAGAAAATGCAAATTACCTCTTCCTGTCCCTGCTAGGCTCCTAGGAAAAGTAGAAAAAAAATTGTCTCTTCCTGCTGTTAATACTGTAATCCCTACACCCAATAATCTTTTGGGAAGTTTAACTTTTAAAACACTGGGCCTCCATACAGTAGCTCTCCTTGGTAGCCAAGAGGTCCATCAACAAATTTCAGTGAAACTGTAGAGGTAGGAAATGTCTGCACAAGTAACCACTTTCTTAAGTGACTCTGTTAACCAAAGGACTAATACAATCTTGTTTAGCCATCATTGAAAGACTTTTTGGTAGACAGCCAACCCTTGCTGGTCTCTTGACTATAGAAAGTGATGTAGAAATGTTCCTTCTAGCATTAATTCATATCAGCTTCTGATGCCAATCTCCTGTACATCAAAGAGAAATGCTCATTTATTGGACAATTTTGCATTTTAAATAATTTGAGCTTGTAGCACATTCCCCTACTTTTAGCAGCAGCAGCCTCTGCCCTTAGTCCAGCTAAAACAGCAACTGTATTGGTTGCTGTTTCATACACATGTGCAGCCTGGTCCAATAGTGCTGGAATGGAGATACTGCCTTGTTTTCATATAGGGCTCAGGGGGTTATGGCCAGGGAGTTCCTTGTTGCCATGCTTGTGTTCAAGTCCTCCACTGATACATGTGAGGGAAGTTTCTCCCTGTAATCCACTGCAGTCCCCAAAGGTAAATGTTCCCATCTTTTTATTACACTGAGGACAGACTCAGCCTTAGGTTGAGTCTCTGCCTTATGGAAATACAATGCTCCTACCTGAGCACTGATTACAAAGCTGTTCTCATGCAAATCCAAACGGCACAGGTGAAAATGCTTAAAATGAGGCAATATGTTACAAACCTGTTAGTCTGGATCTGTGAAATTCATTGTTTCAGTGAGGAGTGGAGCTTACAGTTTCCAAAGCCAGATTGCTACCTACCTGTTTCTCATCCTGAGATCCATGTCATCTACCTTAATTTTAATTCCCTTCCCCTTGTTTTCCAAGTATTGTCCCATACTACACACAAAAGTCTTTATTACTTTATCTTGCACACCATAGTCCGTGTGTTTATATCCGCTAGCTTCTCAAGCTGGATGTGTCTAAGTGTAACCTTTTGCCTACAGGTATGAACAAGAGGTTTTTAGCATTTGGCACGAGGCTTTTAATTTCTAGCATTTGCTACAACTAGGCATTGAGGCCTCGACAGAAATTGATAGCCCCATCCCTGACTGTAAGGGCTTACAAATTAAATGCAGGATCTAGACAACTTCCTTTCACTCAAGTTGTACTTGCTTGAAGTCACATGGAAAAGAAGTCACATGTGAGGATCAGGGCTATGCCCCATCTCTCTTCAGCCAGAATGAGCCCTCCTTGTGTGCCAGGGAGTGATGCTGCTGACTGGTGATTGCTTTCAGCTACATATCTGCTTCCAGAATAACACCACATTAAACAAAACAAAACAAAACAAAACAAAACAACCCAAACAAACAAAAAAGGGAGAGAAAACAGTAACTGTTATCCTTCCTAAGCTTGTGTAACAGGTTTTCATATGATGATTTTAGTGTTTAAAGTCTTTTTTTATTGAACTGTTTCAGTATCCAGAAGAAGACATTTCTCTTACTTAGCTTCATTAGGTATCGGAAATCACTGGATTAACATAGGGAGCAGATTAGCAAAAATAAACTGTAGTATGTCTTGGGCATATGGTGCTGCGTATGAATGGGTTTTAACTACTTATCTGTGTATAACAAAGAGCAGAAGGAGAGATTTGTCTTAGTGTGCAATAATTATAATATGCAGTAGCTGCATAGCTGAACAGGCAGAAACCACAAAGCCAGGAAAAGCTTTTGGTTGGGATTTGTGTGTGGTGTGTGTGCTGGTCCCCAAGCTCGCATCGTGTTTTCTGCCAGCTCATGGCTGGGCGCGAGACTGGACTTAGCTAATTAACAGGATGCCTCTCCCTCCTGTCCCTTCCTCTTTGCTCCTGGTTTGAAGTGCTGGGTTAGTGTGGGTTACAGAGACTGGGATTAGCCCACCTGACATGGGAGCAGGCACTGGTTCAGGGATGCTGCTCCATCACATGGACCAGAGGAGGAGGGCAATGCATGTTGCCACCTATGGGCAACCCATGACAGCCTAGGCTTTACCTCGTCTGGAAAAATAAAAGAGGTCAGAATATCGGGGTGATCTGGGGAGTATTTGCCTTCATGCTCTGGACACAGACAGAGCAACACGGCACACTTTGAATTCAAATTCTGCCGTTCCAAGCTTTCTGCTTTTTTTTCCACTGATACCTTTTGATCCCCTCTGATGCCTCAACCTGAAAAGTTTCAAATTTATGCCTTTTCTAAATAGACCCAGCTCACACTGGTTTGGAAACCAGTCTTGACACATAAGTAAACATTGGTAATATCCTGATGGTGCTCTGCCTCTCACTTCTCAGGAAAACTGTGCTTTTCCACTTGGGAAATGAGAGGTTTCTCAGTGAAGCAGTGATGATCTCATCATTTCCATGTCTTAAAAATATTTGCTTATAAAGGGATATAAAGATTTACAAAACCAATAAAACCTGGTTTATGAAGTAAATTCAAAAATACCTGGAGAATCATTTAGTCTTTACCTGGGCTCCTCAGTATATTTGCTAGCACAGATTAACAAATAATGTTATGCCACATAGCTTAAACTTGCATGTCCTTGCCTATTTTTTGGGGGGTTGCTTTCCTCTGAGGTTTCCACCATGTGTTTCACATCGACTGTGAGTAAGATTCTTGGACTTCTGCCCTGGATTAATCAAACATGAATCATTGTCCCATGCAAAAAGAAAGTTTAGCCAAAAATTGTGGTGGTCCATATAAGAAAAGGTGTGTGTGGGGGGGGTGGGGTTAGGGGAATATTCCTCCTTCTGTGAAGTTTTAAACTGATTTTATTCCTTGTTTTGGTGGGAAATTTTGGGCATTAAAAGATTCACTGACAAGGACCTGATCATCTTGTTCTTCTAAGGATTATTATGAAAAATTAAATCTCCAGCTGTTCAGGAGAATATTCTTGCTTTCTTTCTCTCTCCTAAATTAATTGTATAGTGGTGAAACCTGCTAAACTTGCAGGCTTTGTATTTAGCTTATCAATAACAAAGTGTTACTTCTGTTGCAGAGTTCCCTGAAGAGAAGAGGCAGCAGAGAAATCCACAAAGAAAAAAAGACATTTACCCAGGTATGGTTTCTTTGAGCAACTTTGAGCAAAATCACATCATACAGCTCAAAATTTATTTTTATGGGTTTTGACAGGGCCATCAGGTATATTAACTTGAGTGCAATTAGGCCTTAATCTACTGAGACTTCCCAGAGATAATGTAGAAGCAATTTAGGACAAAAATGCAGTCTCTAAACTGCGCAGCTTCTCGAGCTCATTGTGCTTGTATCCATTGATTCAGGCTGCAGGTTTGCTACAAGAAGAGCAAATCACCTTGCCTCACAAAATAATTGGATCGCAGCTTAGGGACTAACTAAATTTATACATTGTGCCAAAGGTTTTGTGCTAATGAGTGTCTTGGCAGGAATGCAGTTCACGCACTGCAATGACACCCTGCGAGCTCTCGTGTCTCCTTTGATCTCCCTGTGTTGCAGGAACTTGTGCTCCCCAAAGCTGAGGTACCTCAGAGAGCCTAAGCTGCCCACTCAGTGTCTCTTTGGACGTGGGTTTTATCGGAATCTTGTTGGTCAGTCCTTCTCAGGAAAGCAGTCTGCCTGGTTTCCTCTGCTTTTTGTTCTGACTGTAGGAGTTAAAGCTTTTCCCAGCACCAGCGCAGTTACTGTTTATAGCCAGGGAGATGAGGATACTATTTCACCTCGCTGGGAAAGGAGCCAGGAGAGACATTGTGCCTTCATTAGAGAAGGGACGCACTTCCCCTGCCGCCCCCTTGGCAGGCTCAGTGTACACAGCCGAGACCTATGGGTTGTCTAGTCTTAAAATCCATTGATTTGTAATAGAAACCATAATAAATCACTACAATATGTTGAACTTGAGGGGGTAGGGCAGGCAGCTGAGTGGGCATTCTAGGCGACTGGCCAGTGGCCAATGCACTTCAGCCTGCTTTCCCAGGACACAGCAGGCTGAGCGTCCTCACCAAGATGACACAAGCATGGCTTAATCATACCTTTAAACGAGGCACTTGCTATGGAGAATTATTTAAGTTGTCAGTCAGGTCAGAGTTTGTTTTTCTGCAAGTATGTAAAATATATGGATGAAATATATACACATGCCCACACACATGTAAATGACAAATGGCGCTACATGAAGGCACAGTTGTGTCCTTAGGGTTTGTGAGCAGCACTGTCCTGCCTTTCCTCTTTCCTGGAAATAGAGAGCTGTGCAAAGAGAATGGATTCTCATGCTTGTTTCCTCTGCCCAAATCCAGGCATTAAGAGCAGCTACAGTTTGCTTTGGAAAGCCTTAAAAACGACTTCACAAAATTAACTGAGTAACCAAATGTGAGCTCAGCACCACTCACAACAAAGAGAAGTGATCCCAGAAGCCACATGGGGAGAAAAACTTTTGCCCTCTACACACACATCATAACTCTTGCAAGCAAAGGACTTGGGGTTGGAAATGAAAACCATTGCATCAGCACTCTGCAAGGTGGCCATTCGGTTTTCTTCACCAATTCTTTAGGGTTATAAAGATCAAGAAATAACTTTAAATACTGACATAGCCCAGCCTATATGTGCATGTCCTGGCTTTCTCTCAACTCTATGATATTACCCATAGCTGCCTCCAAACCCAGGCATCCATTCAGAGATATTTGCCGGTTAATATACGGCACATCACAGCACATGCCTGACCTGGTCAAACAGCTGCCAGGTCCTGGGCATGGCCCAAAAGGGTTGATACAAAATCCAAAGGGTTCAAAATGCTGCTCTTCAGGGACAGACACCCTAAGTACCTAGAATGAACACCCATTATTTTGTGACTGAGAAGGCCTCAAACTTGGATTCTGTGCATCCACATGCGTACAGATATGTATAGCATGTGGCAAGACTGGTGGTTTTACTTACTGAGAGCTCGTCATGAAAATTAGCTGGAACTTCACACTCACCACAGGGCACACCAAGTAAATAATGCCCATGAAGTTTATTGTCTTGAAGTTGTGTAAAAGCAGAATTTGTAGTAACACTCTCCCACCTATAGCAGTATTGAAGAAAAAAAGTTTTTATTCAGCAGAATTGCAAAACGGAGCCTCTTGGAAAATACCAGGCACCAGGCAAAACACAAAGAAAAGTGGTTCTCCAGCGCAAGGTAGGAGTGCTGGCACTCAGCCAGATGCTTGGGTGCTGGTTGTACTGCCTTGTCGTCAGACTCGCAATCCCAAATCGCTTACCAGTCTTCTGCCTGGCAGCTCCCTTGAGCTGGTGGTGGTGGTAGAGGAGATGGTGTTGGCCTCTATCTAGCTTTGTGTCTTCTTGCCAGAAAAGAAATATTGTATTGGGAAATTTTTGATCAGCTCTTCATTCTCATCACATCTCTCACACATTATGCATTTACATTGCATAATTAAGTTAATTTATTTCCTATACGTTTCATTTCTTTATCTCCACATTCTACATTTGTCTAAATTAGACAGCAGACTCTGTAGGGAAGGATTTGGGTTTTTTCCTTCTGCTTCTTTTACCCATTATCATCTTTCTGAAGTGCCATGCAGAGCCTCAGTGCAATTGCATGCAAATTATTACCATCAGTAATCATTAACTCCCATTTATCCTTAATGATCTCTCAAAGTCCATGACCACACCGTGACTGTCACATCTTTGCACTGCTGTTCCTTCTTTTCTTTCTATATGATTTGCCTTCCATACACATTTTAGGAAAGCATCCACATACTGGCTGTTTAATACAGTCAGGAGGCCATTGCTCATGTTCAGCCCCTGGGATTTGAGCCTCTTGTTTCTCCAAAACCATGGAAAGGCTATTCTCCCTCTTTATTTTTTTCCCCCTTTCCTGTCTTTTCATTCACGATTTAACTAATAATGAGCTATTCTTAGTTTTGGTGATTTGGCCTCTCTTTAGTTCGCCTTATATGTCAAAATTCTGCTTGCCTGTGTGGGTGTCTCACTCTCTCACTGTTTCTACTTGGTTTCAACTGATCAAGAAATCAGTGATATTTCTGTACACAAAGTTTCAGAGGGACAGATGCATGAAGGTTGGAGTCCTACCCTTCTCGCATGCTTAGATCTGGCTGATAAATCTCTCCTGACCATTCTTTTCCTCTGGAAAAAATGCTGTCAGGGGAATGGGATGTTCCCTGGCAGGGAAGTGAGGAGGATCTAGAGCTTTCTCACCTTTCCAGATGGGATCCATATTTAGTAGGCAAGATTAACATCCGCCAGCTCTGTTGTTTTGTATGAGGCTTGTGTTTGTTTAATGAAAAAAATCTTGCTTGTTTCAGCTCTTGCAAAAAAACCAAAGCTTGAAAATTTAGTCCTTAAAAAAAAAAAATAGCTAAGACAAAACCTGTTGATAAGGTAACACCATTAAAGGAGTTAAAAGTGTTTTTTTCCTGCAAAAAATAGCACACTAACTCCACAGATGCACTGAGTCGTGCAGTGATGCTGAGCAGAAACATTGGGCCCCTGACCCTAAACCCATCGAAGCCTTTCCCTTTTCTTAAAAAGCTCCAAAACTCTGAGTCTGTTGTCCCAAGTGCTGTTATATGTACTGTCTGAAGAGCAGTGGGTATCTGGCTGGAAGTCCCTCTGACCCCAGAGTGGCAGCAGGGCCCCTGGTGTTCCCAGGCAGAGCAGAGGAATGGGGCAGGCTGCCCCTTCCCTTGGGCATCACTCCAGCTGCCTGCAGCAGGGGAGGTGCAAAGCACCAGCTACTGCCACAGACAGCTGGGCTCTTGAAGCCAAAGGCAGACAAGAAGTTGGGTAAAGAATGCAGGATTACAAAGACAGAATAAAGAAAATGTCAGACCAGCTACTAACAGATAAATAAATAAATAAATAAATAACATGGGGTAATCATCCCACCTGTGGGTTCTGATGTGCAGAACTGATCTGGCTGTAACTTTCCTTGTGATCTTTGTATTTCCACAAAGCAAAACCTAGAGCTCTGGAGATAAACTGATTCACCATGACAGGAAAAATAGAGGTAATGTGTTGCACAGCCCTGGACAAAGACGATGCTTTAATCATACAGCCTTATCCAGCCAGAGCAACCAAAATGCAGAGTGACTGCAGAGGCTGTATAGGATTTTTCCAGGTTTTAATTTGATTCTTAATTTGCACTTTTGAGTTATAAAGAGAAAAGCAATTTATAAATATATATATGAAAAAGGGAAATGTGTATGCAAGGAGACAATAGAGGGGATAGAAAGTCCATCTTCTAGAGGCTCTGCTTCTAATCAATCATAAGTACTTTGCTTGAATTAATTTAAAACTTACATTTCTGATGCCAGAAACATGATGACCAAAATTTCAGTTAACCCATGAGCTGATTACAGTTGTGTTTGGCTCTTGGTTGTCAATTAAAACCACATATTAACAGAAAGTTTGATTAATTTTTACCTCTATCATGTTTTTAACATGTAAGTTAACTTTTTTCTTTTTAACATTTTAAAGTCACAATCTGCAGCGGGCAGTATCAATCAGAAAGCTTACTGGATTCAGAAGTATACAACTAATCCCTTTTGTGTCTGTTCAGTTATTAAGAGCTGAAATTAAGTCATAATTAGTATTTATGTAAATAGAATATGGCAAAATTAATCCAGGTAACATAGAAGACCAGTGTGCTAGGATCTGTGCTATTGAAATTAAATAATTTCCTCTGACTGCTGAGCCATAATTAGTTTTGTAATTTTTTTTCATAGCCTGATCGTGTGAACAATTAAAGTCAGTCATGTTTTCCTCTGAATTTGGTTTCCATTATTAGGAATTAAAACAAAATGGTGCTTGTGAAAGATAGCAGTGCTCTGGAGACCGAAATGAAGTTTCCATATATAATTGCACATATGTCCACATGGCTTACCAACAATGATAAAATCTGCTGTCTCAGGAGATCATCTTTCAAAGCTTGCCTTCCATTATACTGCTAATGCTGATAAATGTGTCTCTTTTGAGGCCAAGTGCCTGTATCTCCATGACAATTCATGAAAGTGATTCATGCAAAGAAATTGTTCATTGGCTTAGAATTTACTTAACCTTGTCTCTTATTTCAGCACAATACACACTGGAGTTTTCAGTTGAGATGAGATGCAGTACTTTTTATAGCCCAACACACACCAAAAATCCCAAACAGTCATTCAATACCCTGGTACTTCCTGAAAAATGCAGGTTTTCACATGGGATGGATTTGGATGTAAACATGGTTTAATGAACTTTTCTTCCCTTTTTCACATGTTTTCACTGATCTCCCTTGTGAACAGTTGTTCATCCCAGAAACAGAGATCACAATCTGCTCTGTCCTAATAATAACAGCAGTGGAGACTACAGTGTGTTTCATATTTGGAAAGCAAGTTAGGAATTTCATCTATTTCACAGCATTTTGAGATCACAGTAATTAAAGTCTTCACTTTTCAAGGCAACCATGCAGTTTAGCAGACCTTTGTTGTGCTTTCTAGCTGAAGGAGCCCAAAATTTGAGATTATGATGAGCAAATTCATCCAAATTGTCTTTGTTTCATGGTGCTTAAGAGTAACAAGCATGTCATTAAAGGTAAATGGAACAAGAAATAAATGGAACAAAAAGTGCCACCAAATCATGGAACCTTTTCATTTGAGTCATTATTTTCCACAAGGTTTGCTCAGCATTTGAGAAAAAACATTGTGTTGGCACTCTTGCATCACTGAACACTTGCACAGGCACACTTTTTTTTCTCCCTCTAACTCTGGTCAAGCTGCTTTGCCAATTTAACTAAGACCAAGCCATGAAATGTGTCAACTGTGTGGTTTGTGCAGCTCTGTCTGTGAATTGTTTGCATACTTAACAGAAGTGGCTCAGAGGAAAGGGAGGTGGAGATTTTGGAAAATAAGATACTGGTTGTGCTTCTATTGTAATATAATCTTGGGCTGGGGGGTTGATTTTTCTTGGCAGGAGGACAGTGCTGATTTGAAGTGCCAGCTCCAGTTTGCCAAAGAAGAGGCAGCGCTGATGCGAAAGAAGATGGCCAAACTGGGGAGGGAAAAAGACGAACTGGAGCAGGAGCTCCAGAAGTACAAGTCCATCTATGGAGATGTGGACAGTCCCCTGCCTACTGGGGAAGCAGGGGGCCCACCCAGCACCAGGGAGGCTGAGCTGAAGCTTCGTTTGAAGCTGGTGGAGGAGGAAGCCAACATACTGGGCAGAAAAATAGTGGAACTGGAGGTGGAGAACAGGGGGATTAAAGCTGAGATGGAGGATATGAGGTGCCAGTATGAAAAAGAGTGTCTCAGCAGGGACCACATTTCAAGCATTCCTACCTCACCCTACGGAGACTCTGTGGAGTCAGCCACAGAGCTACGCAGGCACCTGCAGTTTGTGGAAGAGGA